ATCACAGGTGGCCCAAGCTCTGTCACAGGCTCTTTCACAGTGAATAATTAAAGAGTTTGTATAGTGGTTTAGTTGGACTTGCTTTTGAGCTCCGTAAATGTAAAGTTGTGTGAAATAATCAAAGAAATAAAGTCTTACCTTCGTAGAGAGTAGTCTGTGTTGTTCTCCTCGCGATTTGAGGCCGTTTTGATGTGTTTTAGCTTGACGCCCTAAATTACCGTGCATAAAATACGGGAAGGTCGGAAACTTCTGTTGACACATGCTCGCCAAAATCGCTCGAAAACAACACTTAAATACTTTCCCTCGAATCAAAACTCGGCAGCACGAAAGCCAAATAGTTGCCCTTTAAGTTCACCGAAAAAAATCCCACAAAAGTCGGTTTGTCGAGCAACCAATCCAGCGAGAATTTCAAATTAACGGCCGTTCGGAATTCTTCTAATGCGTGGAAGGAACTTCTTGTGCAGCTGAGAGACCGTTAATGCGCGGTCAACCTGGAACCTAGTCAAATCTCTCTCAACGGGTCCTCCCCATAGTCTTCTAACACCAACTCTTCACACATACTAAGGTACCCCGGGTAAGAGGATATTTGTAAAAATCCATTGAAAACAGTGAAGATGGACAGTATCGACGATCTAGTCAAGTCGATGAGTTTACCCGGGGTACCTTAGTATGTGTGAAGAGTTGGTGTTAGAAGACTATGGGGAGGACCCGTTGAGAGAGATTTGACTAGGTTCCAGGTTGACCGCGCATTAACGGTCTCTCAGCTGCACAAGAAGTTCCTTCCACGCATTAGAAGAATTCCGAACGGCCGTTAATTTGAAATTCTCGCTGGATTGGTTGCTCGACAAACCGACTTTTGTGGGATTTTTTTCGGTGAACTTAAAGGGCAACTATTTGGCTTTCGTGCTGCCGAGTTTTGATTCGAGGGAAAGTATTTAAGTGTTGTTTTCGAGCGATTTTGGCGAGCATGTGTCAACAGAAGTTTCCGACCTTCCCGTATTTTATGCACGGTAATTTAGGGCGTCAAGCTAAAACACATCAAAACGGCCTCAAATCGCGAGGAGAACAACACAGACTACTCTCTACGAAGGTAAGACTTTATTTCTTTGATTATTTCACACAACTTTACATTTATGGAGCTCAAAAGCAAGTCCAACTAAACCACTATACAAACTCTTTAATTATTCACTGTGAAAGAGCCTGTGACAGAGCTTGGGCTACCTGTGTGTAAGCTTGTGATCGACCGTAAGGCCAATCACAGAAAAATATATCGGCAGAAAAATATCCGAACATTTTTCCTGCCAACCGGAGGCTACTGTCTGTATAAAAAAAAGAAAATTTCTAAATAATCCTTATTAAAATGAGATGGATATGACATTATTCTCATGTACGAGAAACGTAGAAATTGAAATCTGCGAATTCGTCCCGTGTAGTTTAATTTCTTAGGACAGGACGATGTTTCAGTTTTCTACGCGTTTTCCGGCAATGAACGATATAATTTTAGCCAATTAGAGATCTCCGAGTTCGGTTGTAAATGTTTGGAAACAATGTAATTTTGGAGTATGAATTTCATCTAGGATGCTCAAGTGGTAAGGGAAGAGCAACGGATGGAGCGTAACCAAAGTTGCAAAGGACTACCATATAACAATTCAAGACCAAAATCACCATTTTAGAAGACAATTTGATTAATCATAAGTGAAATTACTCAATAATCAGAGTTCTCAGCTGTTTCATGGAACAAAATATACTTTTCTTTTACAAAACTGCCCACTATAAACTAAAAGTATTAAACAGGACACAAAAATAGCTAGAGCTCCTCTGGGTAAATTTGCTGGATAGAGCGATAATTCTCACTAACATGCCTAGCACCATGGCAGGCCAGCTTCCAGAAAACTGTAGGTTACCAAAGGCTCGTTCATATTAAGAAACACACTTAAGTGCAGAATACATCTGCAAAACTCTTTAACATTGTGCCTTGAAAGCAAAGCTAAATTATTAATTTCTTTACACTAATATCATATGTTTACATGGATTCCATTGTGAATCGCTGTTCCTTATCCCTCTCAAGGGAGGGCGGATGTTCCTCTATGGAACATAAGACCTATTCAACAAATCCAATGGACAAAGAACTACCTTCACGTACATCATGTAAAAAAAACATGATATAACGATAACACCTTTTAAATCAGAACTGAAAAAAAAAAAAAAAACATTAAAATTATCAAAATTTAACCCCCTGCTCTCTCATACCCTAATAAAGCTATTTTCAGTGCTAGAGTGACCCCTCTCATAAACTACATCATAAAATAAAATACTGAATGCTGACCATAGCAGTTCATGGATCAATGCTTTAGTTTAAAGAATAGAATAACAATTGTTTTTCTTTGACATGGACCATTTACTTGGTGCTATTCATTAATATCAGGGCTCAATAGAGTTCTTGTGACATGAGCCAACCATCCTGGGGACTTGCAGTCTCATCAAAGACTTTAAACAGTCCTTTTGAACACATAACTGGGCAGTTCTTGCATTGTTCATATGAAGTGCGTGCCAGCCACCCACAAATGTCTTTATTTGTTGCTGAAGGTAACAACCAGAAATTGCTATCAACTGGAAGGGAGTTAATGTAGGACTTCATACCACTTCTTGTCAAGCCTTCTGCTCCTCCTTCTTCTGAAATGCTCTCCATACCAGGTAACAGCCACTGTTGGTTAGCCTGAACTGCCAAGCATATTTCATCATTATTAATACCAGTGAAGACTGAGGTCATTGCATAGCTTTCAAGATCTGTGCAAGACTCTGTGGTAGGTGTATCCTTCAACCACTCCCCAGGATCCTGCATAAAAGCAATTTCCCCAGTGGCACAGGTAGGAGTTTCTTCTGTTTCTTCAGAATTCTTCAACCACTGACTTGACTCAGACATTCTTACAATTTTGAAGTAGGCTAAAGGCATTACAGAGAGTGTACTTGTCATCAGTGAATCTTGACACCAACCTTGTGTCTCTGTTGCTTCAGTATTTACCACAGCCAAATCTTCCTTGTCGGCAACTTGCAAACTACTCCCTTTTTCTGTGTGCTCGACTTGTGGTTTGGCTTTGCTCAACCAGTCATCCAAGGGATACTGAGGTAAAGAGAGTGAATTTTCTGGAGCTTTCTCAACTAGCACTGTGTCCTGCTTCAGCCAGTCATGGATATTCAATTCTAAAGACGAGGCTATCAGGATATCTTCCTGGGACCTTTTACCATTATTCTTCCTGATCCACTCTTCAAATGTTATCTGCTTGTCCACAAGATGACTATCAGAAACCACTGCTCCAAATTTGTGTATGACATCTTGAAGCCCAAAATTATGAGCAACAAAGCTCATTACATTGGTTTCCTTGGGACTTAAGTTCATGCAACTAACATCTTGCAAACTTTCCTCCACAAGATCTTCCAAGGTTTCAGCATCAAGGCCTTCGCCATTCTGTTCTAACAATGCATAAGCTGGCTGGATCCTTCCAAGAGCTTTGTTAAATAGGGCAATCTGCTCTTGCAGAACACCCTCTTTTATGCATTGTATGACCTCAACCTGTTGAAGTAGCCACGTTTCTCTATTTCTCAGTGCCTCTAAATGGCGACTAACACTGTCACGAATCTGGGATTTCAAATCCAAGGCTGTAGACTTCAAGTTGACTTTCACTTGTTCAACTTCAGCAATTCCTTTTTCCAAGTTATCCTTAATCCTAACCACTTCTCTAAGTAGAACAGCTAGGCTCTCATTATGATCCATTTGAAATCTAGGTGTGTAAAAAGCACAACAACAGTCAAATATAAGAAATGTGTGAGATTGAAACCAACAATTTACAAACCAAAGACCAAAAGGTGAAAAACTGTTAGTCCCTTAGGAGAACAAGACATTTCCCCCATTTACAATGGTGTTCCCGTGTTACTAAATTCAATTAAAAGAGAATACTTTTTATGTCAGAAATTAACCACAGTTAGCTGAGAAGAAGTTAATAAAGAGGGCCCTTCATATGCATTCTGTTCATGATACAATGTTCTGTGGCAAAATACATCTACAGTAAATAAAACAAATTTGCCATAAACAAACTTTATGTCATTGCCTTTATTGCTTGTTCCAACTGATTTAAACACGAAGGCGCGCTATATAAGGAAGTCTTCCCTGGGAAGACCTAGGCTCATTTGTCACTCGCTGTTGACATGTGCTGGTTAAATTTAAATGCTGCTAGACGAACAAAAAGGAGCTAAGGAGATATCTATTGTTTACTTCCACCAGCATGGTGGCTTGAGGTAACGTGCAAACCACCTACTTCAAATTTAATGAGGTAATGTGCAAACCACCTACTTCAAATTTACCACCACAAATAAAGACAGTTTCCATTGGAGAAAGGAAATACAAATCTCAAAAATTCTTGTATCGAGATGAAGACATAAAACAATTTTGAGGAATGCACCTGCTGTTCACTGCTTTGGAGTAGCTGTAGCTCAAGCTGACTTGACTCTAAGTAAGAGTTCTACATCACACGATGATTGATTGACAAATGGTCCAGTGGGACCTAAGGCTCCTTTTATAGCGCACCTTCGTGTTTAAGGACATTTTGAGCAACATAACACACATACAGTTCCTTACTTTTATAGGGGAATTAGGGAAAAAAAAAACAGAAATATAACATAAGTTTGTGAGACCCTCTTTGAATGAAAAAGGTCTAAATTTACATTATGGGTTTTTGTGAACGTCATAGAAACTTAGGAGTCTGTACTAGCTTAGCTGAGAATGCATTCTGATCATAAACAGCCAAAGTTCATCCTTTCCAAGTACAAGCTAATTATGACCAATTTGGCCACTTTGCTTATGGCCAAAGGCTTGTCACTTATTTAAGACTTCCACTTATTTAAACCAATTTTTTTTTCTCATAATCAAGAAAAAAATATCAACAAAAATATATGTCCAGTTTTGAATATGAGGTGTTAGACCTCGTGGCTGGATGAAATCATTCAGTTTTGGAGTGAAAAGTGATCCGGATATATTTAAAATACACCTTTCTTAAACACAACATTCTAATCATCTGGATGGGTGCAGACTGCATAATTTCAAAGCTTAAAGACAAAACCATAGTTCCTCCAGAGTTCAGTTTGCAAAAACATAGTCAGATAATTTAAGGAACTCAACATGTTCATTTGCATAGCATTACAGAAGAGAGCACAGTGACTCCCATTCTTAAAGCATTGTTATCATCTCCTTGATATGTTACCAGTGTTCCAAGTTTCTTCCCCAGTCTATGAAAAGGTCCTTTCTATCAGTTTACTTCTGCAGTTCTGAAAAATTTAACTTAAGATTTAACTCTGTTTTGAATTGTCACACCTCAGTCAGTTTCATAACCTTTCCACTGATGTATCGTGGTAATGCTTTGATAGCGCATTAACAATTCTATTTCCCAGAGGTCTGCTGAATCCTCAAGATAAAAAAAAAACTTTATTTCTTTAACATTAAGCTTGACCTGTCTGTCTCAAGTATTGTATAAAATGATCAAATCATAGAAAACCTGAGAATTTACACAGTTGTGTTGTTAAGTGACTTTGCATAAAAAAGGGGATTAGCTTTTGCAAAAATTAGTTTATTTTGGGAAAGAAACTGGATTTGGGAAAACACTTGAAAAATATGTAAACCACTTGCACCTTGTGGTTTACAAACTTTTTGTGTGTTCTCCCAACATTCCAAGTGGTTTATTGTGCCAGTAAACCACCAGAAAGTGCTTAAAACTCTTAAACTTGGCAAAACTATCTATCAGACGAAAGTTTAAATTGTGGACAACAAACCATAAAACTTGAGTGCACATCCACTTTGCAAGCAGTTTTTGTTCTCATGCAAAAAGATTTTTAAAAAATTTCTGAGTAAAAATTCTCCAAGTTTGTCACCATGATTTTCTTGAGGCAAAAACAAGGGAACTTTTCCTTCTCAGCAAGCAGTTCAGAGAAATCTAGTAGATACTTTCTGAGGTTCTCTCACTTTTACTACCCAATTAAAAAAAAAAGGCTTAAAACAGCGCATTTTTAATAGAAAATTTGATAATTGTTAGAAAGAACAAAATCCTTCCAGTTTTTTTTTTTTTTAAGAGGGGAGGTTTCAAAGCATCCTCTTCCTTTCCTTCAAACAAAAGGCCTTCAATAAATAAAAATGCTGGGAATTTGACCAGTGTGGCACCATTTCCCCAGAGAGGAAATTGTTCCAGTTTTCTGTGGGTTTCTCATGCAGTTTGGTGTTGATAAGTGCAAGTAAATTTTTCAAAGACAGCAACATTGCACAAGTCCATAGAAGTGCATTTCTACACCCACTTGCACAAGAGTTAATGTTACAACTAATAAAAAAAAATAATGATTAACATGTTAAAGGCATCACAGAAACTCCAGACAGACAAAATTTTGACAGCATGCCTGCTATTTGTAATTTGCACTTGTATTAAAAATTCACACTCATGTTACAACTTTGCACTAGTATTACATAAAAAAGGCACCAGTTTTCAGCCAATCAGCAGTGCATAATCTATCATGTACATCATTACCGGGATAACAAATGGTAGATTTTTTACCAATCAGAGCACTCATTGTATATCAGGTTCGAGCCCTGGCCAGGGACAATGTGTTGTGTTCTCGGGCAAGACACTTTACTCTCACAGTGCATCTCTTTACCTCTCTTTTACAGTGTCTCTCTTTTACAGTGTCTCTCTTTAAATGGGTAGCGGTGAATTAATGCTGGGGGTAATCCTACGATAGACTAGCATCCCATCCAAGGGGTAGTAGAAATACTCCTAGTCGCTTCATTCTATGGAAACCGGCCGGCCCGATGGGCCACTTTGCTCGTCAACAGGCTTTATCTACTCATGATGTCAAAGAAAAATCTGTGGCAATTAACTGTAACAAGTGAAAAAAAAGCTTGAGATTTTTGGCCTTACACTGGCTGTATTATCGTACTGGCAAGTGACACTTTTTTTTCCCATGGATCCTAATAAAGGAGGTTCTGATTCAACACTTATCTCATTCAATGTTAGCATCATGCTAGAATCTGCTACGTATCATTTGTAAGTCAAATGAAGCAAAGTATTGCAAAAAACTTCTATTGGTTCCAATTTGACGGAGAGCTTTCTCGTTTGCCAAAATATTTTCGTGACGTGAGATCTCCGACTAAATTATTACTATCAGCGTTGCTGTTTGTAAATTTCACTTTTCACTCAAACAAAACGACTTGAGGCACCAAGGTTTCAAAATCTCTCCAAGTAAGTGGGAAAGTAGAGGAATTTCGTTATTTAAAACTTGACATATAAAACTTAACTCTTACCACAGTGCGATGAAAGTTCCTTGAAGGTCTCAGCGTCCAAAGAGCCTACACGAAGCGATCGAGATTCACCAAAAGCCGACAGGTAAAACGCAATGCGAGTGCACCAATCAAATTTAAGATTAGATAACGAGTCTTACGTTCCGATAATAGAAACGCTGCAATTGGTCAAGATGTTGAACTTTGTCGTTGGGGGACACTCATGTTTTCCTTTACGTACACGTGAGTTACGGCACGTCTTCTGCTTTTGATTTACACGCAAGCAAATTACTCGCGAGAGAAATAAGCGATGGCGCGCGCGATCAGATCCGCGGCTGAGTTGTAAACAAACAAACATGGCCGCCATGAGCGTTTCAAAATTGCCGGGTACTTCTATTGTTTCCAGCGGAATTGGCTGTTAGAGAAACAAAAATGGAAAGTTCACTTCTTGAAAGTAGGTAGGAAAATGTTTGGATGGCAGGACTTTTGCCGAAAGTGGTCAAAAAATAGTTTATTTAACGAGCTAAAGGAGGAAGGTGAAGTCAACACCCCATCAATGTGGATACCTCTGAGTGCTACGATTTGTTTCGCATTGAATTTGATTCCTAATAAAATGAAATGACCGAGAACTCTCCTACACAACTCACCGGAAGATGGAAAGGAAAATGAATTATCATTGTTGGATCCAGGATGGTAAACATTGACAGTTTGTTTTATGAACGGAAATGGAGAAGTGTAAATGTTGCCATAAAAAAAAAACAAACATAACTTTCAGTAAACGAGAGATCGTAAAAATGTAGATGAGACTTTAATTCTAATTCGACCATAAACGGTAAAATTAAAATAAAATATTCATCTTAAATTTGTGAGGAAGATTGTTGATATTTCACTCGATAAACTGTAAATTACAACTACGAAAATGCAAACTCGCATTTGTTAAGAAAACATTGCAAAATTTTTTTTGTTTTCCATTTAAAACGGAATAATGAAAGTTCACGGCCATGACAGTGGCAAAGAGAAAAAAAGGAAAATGAAGCCAAGGCTTGTTCATACCTCTAGTACCTTGAAAAATATAGAAATTCGCGAAATCTGTGACGACCAACAAATTACTGTTGTATATGAAACCCTGATTTCCGCTTAGTTTGACGCTCATGACAATCTGGAAGACGTCAAAGCAAATTCTTTCAGTAACTCTAAATTGTTTTCACTCCTCCACTTCAAATTTCACACAAACAATTATACGGTCAATCATGGCAAATGTGCATCGCCGAATGAAGCCTTCGATCAAGCCATCTTCTCGGAACAACGACAGGATACCATCCAGACGTCTAATGGAAAGCTTCATCTTTCGACAAACATGGTCCAGAAGCTGGCAGAGCCTGGTTTGTCTTATGTTACACTACAATCTCTGTACGAGAAACTCAACATTAACGGCCTCAATGTTGTACTGGCATTGGAGCCATCTGCAAAATCAACTTATCATATATCGAATTCCGCACGAGAATTCTCTCCGGAATGTTCTAACATTTCCAACTGTCGTAACGGTAAGCAGTCTGAGTCTCAAATGATAACTTATTTTTCAGGAATGTGTAAAATCTCGAAACAATGTGAATCCATCTTCAGGATGTACGATCTTTGCCGCGCTGAGGGCATCCACCGATTAATCGCGCGGACACGGACTCATCCTCGCGAAAATGAGCCCTGGAGTCAGCGGTAGCATTTAAAGCGCGTGACCGGATATAAAAGTGTGAGTTAAAATTGTAAAAACCGGAAATAAAGCTCGCTAACTTGATGAACTACCCTGATTTTTTGTGTACAAATTGTTTTCATCATTACGCATTCCTGAAGAAAATTTTAAAAAAATTTATCTGGTGGAAAATTTAAAAAAAAATTATCTAGAGGAAAATTTTAAAAAAATTTATCTAGTGGAAAATTTTTTACATTTTAAGACAGCATTTTCCTATATAATTCAATTTCTACTGGTTAGTTTTTTTTATATCACGTATACAGATAGAGAATGTGATGATGTTAAATAAATTTGAAAAAAACTAGGTTTTAGAAGGTCTTTCAGCACTAGTGTTCTGTTGCCATGGCAACAGATGATGCCTGACGAGCCCCCTTACGAGATTGCCCTAACATAGTGTTAAGGATATGTCAAGTCATTATCCCGATGATAAGTTTGACAGTCCTGATATCTTTTACTGATTGCCACTTGCTGTTAATTGTGGAAAACCCTTTCGAGCCTCCGTAAACGGAAAATTAGAGTTTTGGACGAGGGAAACTGAAAGCTACCCTGCGAGCAGAATCGATCCCGACTAATCTAATAAGATCGAAGGGCCTCTGCTCGCAGGGTAACTGAAAGCACACCGAGCATGAAATTGCGCGGCCTCGCTCCATTATGCACTTTTTTCCCGTAATGAGCCAAGATCGTTTGTACAGAGATAATACGCAGAGGATTTACGGCGAAAGTTTTTGAATGAAAATTTTTATTTCTATTAATTTTGCATTTTTGACTATTTGATAAAACGTCCCACTTGACCAAGATCTGAGAGGTATAGCTCTGCTCGAGATGACCTGGTGGCAAATCTACAACTGATTCGTGACGCAGGACAGTAATAATAGATTTTGAAATCCAACTATATCGCACGACGCGCGAAGAAACAGAACTATAGTGACGATTTTATAATTATGAATCCTTATCAGATGACCAGCACGACCCCAATTTGGCCGGACGGGTTGACATGAGCCGGTCCGGAAAAAGCCGTCCGGCCCTACACTCACACTTTTGATTTGACCACAGGTGGCCTAGGCTATGTCATAGGCTCTGTCACAGGCTTTTTCACAGTGGATTATTATAGAGTTTGTATAGTGGTTTAGTTGGACTTGCTTTTGAGCTCCGTAAATATAATGTTGTGTGAAATAATAAAAGAAGTTAAGTGTTACCTTCATACAGAGTAGTGTGTGCTGTTCTTGTCGCGATTTAGATAGGTAGATAGAAACTTTATTAACGTGTCAAAGAACCTTCTAGTTTGGGAGATATCCCACACTAATGTGGGGACACAAATAAAATGGATAAAAATTATTTACAAAGAATATTACCTACTTAAGAATAAAATTAAGTCATATCATGTATGATAAAATATGAAATGAATTAAGAAATACTTAGAGCACAGCTCCTGCAGCCAACATCTAATAGGGAGCTGAGGTCACGCTTACGTATGCGGTTTTTGAAACTAGCTAATGTTGTGGCTGATCTGTCATAAGTTGTCAGTTTACTCCATAATTTAGGTCCTAAATAGCGTAGTGAATGTTTGCCGTAAGTTATTGTGTTGTATCTAGGAATAGAAAAGTCGGCCTGTCTTAAATTATAGGAAGCGTTGTGTTTCTGAAATATATTACAAATATTCAANATGTCTTTGATGTGTATAGTCTTGTATAGCTGTGTTTAGCCGTGTATAGCTGTGTATAGCCCTGTATAGCTTTGTATAGCCCTGCTACCTGAATATAGCTGTGTATAGCTGTGTATAGCTGTGTATAGCCGTGTATAGCTGCGTATAGCCTTGTATAGCTTTGTAGAGCCGTGTATAGCTTTGTATGGACCTGTATAGCTGTCTATAGCCCTGTATAGCCCTGTATAGCTGTGTTTAGCCCTGTATAGCTGTGTATAGCCCTGCATAGCTGAATATAGCCCTGTATAGCTGTGCATAGCCCTGTGAGAAAAAAGAATGGAATTCTTAACGTGAGATGGATGCAAAGACGAATATAACAAGTAATTATGCGAGTCTGTAGGTTTGTAATACACATAGTGCATAAATCGTTGCCTTCAATTAAAACTTTGATGTCTTTGACGTGTATAGTCTTGTATAGCTGTGTTTAGCCGTGTATAGCTGTGTATAGCCCTGCATAACTGAATATAGCTGTGTATAGCTGTGTATAGCCGTGTATAGCTGCGTATAGCCTTGTATAGCTGTGTATAGCCGTGTATAGCCCTGTAAGCTTTGTGTAGTCGTGTATAGCCTTGTATAGCTGTGTATATCTGTGCATAGCCGTGTATAGCTGTGTATAGCCTTGTATAGCTGCGTAGAGCCCTGTATAGCTGCGTATAGCCTTGTATAGCTGCGTATAGCCGTGTCCTGCTGTGTATAGTCTTATATAGCCGTGTATAGCTGTGTGTAGCCGTGTATAGCGATGTATAGCCCTGTATAGCTCTGCATAGCTGTGTATAGCCCTGCATAGCTGAATATAGCTCCGTATAGCCGTGTATGGCTGTGTATCGCCCTTTATAACTGCGTATAGCCCTGTATAACTGTGTATAGCCCTGTATAGCAGCGTATAGCCGTATATAGCTGCGTATAGCCCTGTATAGCTTTGTATAGCCGTGTATAGCTGTGTATAGCCCTGTATAGCTGTGTATAGCCCTGCATAGCTGAATATAGCCCTGTATAGCTGTGTAATAGCCCTGTGTAGCTGTGTATAGCCGTGTATAGCTGTGTATAGCTGCGTACAACCTTGTATGTGTATGGCCGTGTATAGCTGTGCATAGCTTTGTATAGCCCTGTGTAGCTGCGTATAGCCCTTTATAACTGCGTATAGCCCTGTATGACTGTATATGGCCCTGTATAGCAGCGTGAATTTAGTTTTACGGCTCACTGATCTTGACTTTGTAATGGTGGTTATAATATGGCGCTTGTAAGTTTCTCGTTCTTCAACTTGCTTGCCTGATCGCTTTCCTCGGTAACGGGGCCAAACTTTCTCCTCAAGAACATCATTGTTAGGAAAAAATGAGGCTTGCGTCCTGTCGATGAGGTATACTAGCAAAATAAACATAAACAGTTTAAAAATATGCGGAGCTGTGAAAGCCATGTGCAGCCGTGAAAGGCGCATACATTGGTTTCCAGCTATACAAGGCTATACACAGCTATACAAGGCTATACACAGCTATACGCGGCTATACGCAGCTATACAGGGATATACACAGCTATACAAGCTTGCACAGTTATACAAGCCTATACATAGCTATACAAGGCTATGCGCAGCTATACACGGCTATACACAGCTATACAGGACTATACAGGACTATACAGGGCTATACACGGCCATACAC